AGGTAAATTACCCTGAGAACGTTGCTTATTTTTACAAACATGATAAAGTAGCGGGCATAAAATGCTGCATTCCTGGGATAGCCTCAAACTAGAGCAATCAGGTTCATCTGTCAGGAAGAGTCCTCCTGTTTTGCCAGACCCCTTTAAAGTCTGGTAGCCCTGTCCCTTCGGCTGTATCGCATCGCTGTGCAGCATTTTGCCACCAGGTCGGCCACTCATTTTGTCCCCTCTGGGGGACGAGATTTTCCCTTCCTATCCGTTTAAGCGAGGAAATAGAGCTTACAATTTATCTGTGTTTGGGAAAGTAGCTAGAAAGGGAATGAAATTGCCCTTTCGCTCCGCATTGTTCGAGTGTGGTGTTCTTGAGGAATACAGTGCATTGTTCAGCACAGTTTTATTCAAAGTATTAATGAAGTGTGCAGAATCTATTAAAGCGGGTTTATTCGGGGCTAATTGAGCGTGAAAGAGTTAATTGCTAACATTAATGAGGACTGGAAGGACTCAGTCAGCATGTGCCTTGGATATCTCCGCTCAATCCTTATAAAATCATCATTCACATTTTATCACGAAATCAGTGTTGACAAGTTTCGCCAGACCACCATTGCGAATGCTGATGAATGCGGTGGATCTTAGCCTCGCAGTAATAATAATAACAATAATAACCAGGGTCCGACTGCACCAGTAATCACCACACTGGCCGGGGCAGCCTTCATCCAAAACCAAACCAAATATTAATATTAATAATAATAATAAAATCAAACAGGGTCCCCATCCTCGCGGGCCGGTGGCTGCGAGGGCCACGGGCGGGAGCGCAGCTGGGTGGGTGCCGGCGGGGTGGCCGCAGCGGCCAGGCTCCGCAGCCCGCTCTCTGCAGAAGTATTTTTAAGAGGGTTGGGAGTTTTTTTGTGTGTATTCTGTTCACCCACCCCCACGCACACCCCCCAGTACGGGATTCATTCTCGATTTCTCCCCAGAGACGCCCGGTGCCTCCCCTACGCACGAATAAAGCGTCCCTCCTCTCTCCCAGCAGCAAACTGGATTTCTTCCCTCTGCCTCCCCACGGCCACGGCACACTCTGCCACGGGGGGTGGACAAAACCCTTGGCGGTGACACCTCGGCGGGGCACCGAGGCGCATCCCTAGGCCCTGCAGACCGAGGCGGAGCCGTCCCGGGCCACCCGGCGGCCGGGTTCCGGGAGAGGAGCTGCACGGCGCCGTCCTACCACTTTCGGGTCCCGAGCCCACCGCTGGTTTAAGGGATGGCCCTTCTCCTCCACTGACTTGGGTCGTGCTGAACTGGACCCATTGTGCACCTGTCCGGGAGACGGCTCTCAGCCTCCCGCCCTGCTTGCGTTTTATCGGACAATTCCCGCAGCTTGACGGTATTACGCTCGATTTTTTATAGTTTCCCTCCCAAAAGCCAGGAATAACAACTGTACCCTAATCCTCGGCTTTGCACTGACAGTTTATAGGCTCGGCCTCTGGAGAAGCCCAGTTTCTCCCTACATAGAACTTGTTTTGATCCATTCAGACAAATATAAACATTAGATCCATTTTTGTTATGGCCTTGGGAAGAAACAGGAAAGGCTTCTCAGACCCTAAAATACTACAAATTGAGTAGAAAGAAAGAAAGAAAGAAAGAAAGAAAGAAAGAAAGAAAGAAAGAAAGAAAGAAAGAAAGAAATCGAGGGAGAAGCTGAATGATCAAGTCCATAAAGGACATTCAGACTTTCAGACTTCTGGTTTCAGACTTCTGGTTTGCAGCTAGTATGTGTCATTTTTAGCTCGGGTTAAAAACACAGCTCCTCCGCAAGGGGGGATAAACAACTTTGAGAGGGGAAGACAAACCTTTAAATAGCATCAAAATATCCGAGCCCCATGTGAAGGCTTCCCCCAGCCCTCTGCCCGCCCCAAGGAGAACAGTTCTCCTCACGTGAACCAGAATCTCCCCACTTCTGCACCATCCAGAGGATGATGAGAGAGGATGGGGGGAAAGAAAGAAAGAAAGAAGGGAGAGAAAAGGAGGTGTTTGGATTGATATCCCCAACCCGCGAGGCTTGGCAAAACAAAAACCAAACAAAACGAGTTGTTCTTTTTATTTACCTAATCCCGATCTGTGCTCCACCGCTGGCAGCAGTTAAAAGATCCTGGGCTAAATTGGAGCTGGTAAAATAAAAAGATAATAATAATAATAAAAAAAAAAAAAGTAAAAAAAAAAAAAAAAAAGTTTGGCTAGGTCAGTGTCTCTGCTGGCCCTGGGGGGCACAGCTCTCTCCCCACCCCACCCCACTGCTCCTCCAGCGGGTACAGGCAGATCCGAGCGAGCAGCGGGGCCAGGTGTCCAGGTGCTCTGGCTGATGGAGACGGAGGTGCTCTCCCTCCTCCCGCTCCCGGCGCCGTGAGCGTGTGCCGGAGTGCAAACGCGCCCGGGAGTAGCCGAGCTCAGACTGAACCGATCCCTTCCCTCCAGCCTCCTCCTTATTTCAACCCCCCCCTCCCAGCTCCCCCCTCAACCTCCCACCAGACTCCGGGCATGCGCACGCAGGGAGAAAGTTTCTGGCTGGGAAGAACCAACTTTTCAACCCCGCTTCTCCTGCAGGCGCAGCAGCCCGGGGCTCGCAGCCCGCAAACGTGTGATCTCTTCCTCCCCGCCCCGGCCCCGCTCCCGCAGCACCCCCCCAGGGGCATCTCCCCGGGGTCCGCTACTCTCGGGACCCCTCCGCGGAGCGGAGAAACCCGGGAACCCCGGGGCGGCTCAGCGCAGCACCGCGGAGGCTCTGGGATGCGCTCGCTCCCCGGAGGCGCTGCGCGGCCGCGCTGCTTGCGCCCGGGCTGCGCGCCTCTCCGCACCGCTCCGCACCCGGCTCGCTGCGCCCCCTCCCCGCCGCCCGGCGGGACACGACCGGCCGGGATCTGCGCAGAGAGGGGGAAAAAAAAAAAAAAAAAAAAAAAAAAAAAAAAAAAGGAAGGAAAAAATAATTTAATAAAAAGGGGGGGGGGGAAGTGGGGTAGAAGGAGGGAGGGTTCTGCTCCCTCTGGGAGGATTCAGGGGGTCGCAAGTTGTTGTCCCCCCTTTGGAGCCGTCCGCAGGACGATTCCGGTAGGCACTTACCTGTGAGGAGTCCACCCCCGGGTTGGAAGCGCTTCCCCCCGCCCCAGCCTCCTTCCCGGTCCCCGTTTTCCCCCCGGCACCCCTGACCTTGGTGCTTTCCTCCCGTCCCTCCTCCCGCGGCCCGGGACCGTCTCACCCCGCACCCAGGCGCGGATCCGCGGTGCGCGGAGTCCCGCGGAGCCCTCGCTTCAGAGGCCTGATAGGTCCGCGGGGATCTTACTTCCCGGGAGAAGCAGGCAAAGCAAAAGAGCCCTCGAAAGAAAAAAGGGTTAAACGTGCTTTATAATTAATCCTGAGGCCATAATCTCCTTGCTTATTTGTTTTACTATTCATCCATCCATTCACACTCCTCTAGACCCGTGAAGGGGGAAAAATTGCTTGGGTGTATTACATTGTCCCGAGGAACCAGGGTAATATAATACGTTAGCGAAGACAGATCCGTCAGGATAACATGGTACCGTGCTCAGGGACACGCGCGTGTTTTTTTATTGTTCATGTCACTGCTGTTGTTACACTGATTTTTGCCCATCTGAGAAGGAAAAGCAAACAAACAAATAAATTTAAAAAAAAATAAAAAGCGGCAACAAGAAAGCAACTGTCCATCGCGTTATCATCCTGGAGAATAAGTGTTCATAAACACGATGGCAGAGTGGAGAAATAAGCCCTAGCATTGCAATTTCATCTCCAAAACATCCCAGTTTCAGGGAAGAGTCTGGGGTCTAACACTGCTCACTGCTCTGGGCAGGAGAGATTTTCGTTCCCTTCTTTTGTAAACGAGTGGCATTTTTATGAGGCAGAGGCAAAGCAAAGACGTTCCCCCATCTCAGCTTCTTCAGTTCTTTCTCATTTCGTGCTCTTCTTTCCTTTCTCTCTTCTTTCTTTTTTTTCTTTCTTTTTTTTTTTTTTCTAATTCCATTTAATGTTTCTTGTCCTCCCACCTCCACCCCTCCCCAAAGCTAGCACTTTTATTTCTATTCTGGGGATCGAAATGCCAAAAGTGTCATCCTGTGGCCGAAGCTGTAAGCCGATGCCTTCGAATAAGTTTGCCTTTTCAAAAACAGTTTTCAAGTCCTGTTGTCAGAACACGACTGTAAGATCCCCAAGTGTCCCTAAGCCAGGAGTCAGACAGGAGATACACCCTTCTAACTGGACATTTCTATTTTCCCGGAGGAAGACTCTCTCTCTTTGTATAGCTGGGGGTGGGCGCTTGGATTAACTAGAAAAAAAAAAAAAAAACATGCAATTCTCTTTATAAAAGTAGCAGACGACTTGAGATGGTAAACACAACAACAGCAATGATACCTGCACGTGCTGCTTGCAAAGGAACCAAAAAAATGCACTTCCAGTTACAGAAACCATCACTCCAGAATAAATACTTAAACATAGAAATAAAGGGCAGTAAAAGATCTCGGCGTATAGGGGGGGGGAGGGAGACGCAGAAAATGATTCCCACGCGAAAATATTTTAAAATCAAAGCGGATCGTTAGGATATTATTCCGCCCCAGAGTATAACTGGAAGCTGTAGCTGAAGGCTGCCTGGATAACGTATAGCCTGATATATAGGTATTTGTTAAAAAATAAAAATATTTGGACTTGTCAACCCACTGGCGATTGAACTGAAGTTTCAGGTTAACTGTCTTGTTAAGTGCATTTGGTTTAAATATCTGGTGTTTAAGTTATGAAGGATATGCTGTTCCAAAACCTTTATTCTCGGATGGATTTTTATGATGTCCCTTGCTAATTTGCATTATGTCAACTTGTAACGGTGGGGAACCTAATACCGGGAACGGGATACAAAACCACTATTAGCACTGACACGCAGGGAATACGTTGCGCTTTTCCACAGCGAAGATCTGCTGTCGATTAGGAATGTTACAACTTCAAGAGACTCGTAAAAAGTGAAGGCATCTGTTCCCAAATCCAGCCACGTTTGTAGGATTTAGACGTGACAGAGAAATCCAATTCGTTTCAAGAGAGATCTGCGAGGTGACTGGGGAGACCGCAGCCCCCATCCCTTTTTCCACCTCTATCCCCTTCCCAAACCCATCCCCGCTTCCGTCCCCATCCTGCCCCACTTTGTCTTCCAGGTGAAGCCCCCCCCCGCTGAGGGCTGCTCCCCGTTTTTGCGGGGAGCACCGTGCCGGGGCTCCCTCCCCGCTCCGCTCCCGCAGCGCCGGGACCAGCGCGGAGCCGGGGCCGGGGCCGGTACCGGGGGTGCGGCTTCGAGCCCCACCTGCGGAGCAGACGTGAGGCACGGGGAGCGCATCCGAGGGCATTTCTCCTTCCCTCCCGCCCGAAGCCGGCTGCGCTCGTCACCTCGTCTTCAACGAGTTTGGGGTCCGAGGGCTAATCCTGCGCAGCGCAGGTACCGGGGGTCGCTCCTCCTCTGGGTTTAGCTCGCGCGAATGCCGGGCACCCCCGGATTCGCCTACACGCGTGCTGCGAGGGGGCTGAGCAGCCCCACTGATGCTCCTCTTCCCTCCCTCAGCCGGGGCACCCGTCTTCACCTTCGGGACCCGCTTGACCTTTGGAAAAATAACGATTCCCGGCCCCATCCCGTAGCCATGTGCGGGATAAAACTCCCTTTTGCTTCTCTGGGATTTTCTCCCCACCAGGGAACGGCGCTTGCCCCTCGGAAAAGCTTTTATTGAGCAGAAACCACCATGCCACTTGCGAAGCATCAGCCGCAGGCGCCTCGCTAAACTCGCAAGGAGGAGCGGGTCCGGCGGGGCAGGGTGGGGACATTTTGGTAGCTCGGAGGGTTTCAAGGGTTGCTTCGCCTCCCCGAGCCCAGCAAACATCTCGCCCCCCGCAACGCGGGGGTGGGTGGGGGATGGCCGGTCAAAGCTGCCTCCGGTCGGCAGCCCTGCAGTTCCCAAACCTCCCGGGGGAAGGGAGCGGGGAGCAGCCGCCTGGGCTCAGCGGAGGCTCCAAAACCTCCTCGCTCCCGGAGCTGCCCGGAGAGGGATGGAGCCAGCCCCGGAGGCAAAGAGGAGGCACAAGTGCACCGCAGCGTCCCCCCCCTTGTCCTCATGCCTCTCCGGGCAAGCGCCCCAGGAGACGGGACCTCTTTTTCTCAGTGCCACCTGGGGCATATATATACACATATTTCTGCTCTGCTTCGTCTTGCCGGATTTTTTCCCCCCTTCCTGCGGTTTTGCTGTTGACCGCGGTGAAAGATTAAGAGTGCGGGCTCTGACCGCCCCCCCGGAGAAACCGGGCTCCGATTTTCCGTCGGAGAAGAGAGAGGCAGAAAGGGCCAGGAATGGGAAAGAGCCCGTCGGGGCTGAGCCCGCAGCGCCGGAGAGAGGGGGCGGCGGAGCCCGGGGGCTCCGGTACCCCCCTACCGAAAGTGACCCCCGCCTCTCCTCGACCCCTGGTTGGCCGCTCAGGTCCCACGAAGCCTTATTATTTTAACTGCTAATGACAAGACACGGAGGAATAGCAGCAAACAACGCGGGTGGAAGCTGCTCCCGCAGTGCAGAGTACATACCCTTGTGATAGCAACCCCCGCCCTCCCGAACCCAAATCGGCACAGATGAGGATAAAGCGTTCTTCTGCCAACTTTTACTATTTTTTTTTTTTAACTCCTACTTCTAGGGCTCAGTGAAAATCAAAGGCAAACTTTGGAGCATCTCCATTTTGTTAGCGAGGGGGAATTGCTCGCTTGATTTTTAGTGCGGTGCTGAGATGTGACCCAGCGCGTTAATATATTGCTGCCCTTCGCTAGCGAGCTACTGCAGACGGGGAGCGATCCGCAGGCGCTTAAGCAGCCGCCCTGTGAAAGTCTAAATTGGAGTCTGTGCAAGGAGTTACGGCATGGCATGGCCCCGTGCCCCCTTACACATCGGGGACTGGTCACCCAGCAAGGGCAGAACTCTCTGCCAGCAGCTTTTGCAGACTGGGAAAGAAAAGCCAGAGCACGGAATGGAGCGATATGGGATTTATCCTCTTTAAGAATCACAATGGACTTCACAAGCAACTAATTAAGTGCAAAATCTCCCCCCACCCCCACCCCTTGTTTGCAAAGTGGTGTGAGGCGGTTGTGTAAATGATTCCATTTTAACTTCCAGCCCCTTTAGATCACTAATAATGCCGTGGTGGTTCTGCTCACACTGCTGCAGTGAGAGTCAGCATTTCCATTATAATTTCCTATTTTCAGGAGTTTTTACAGTGGTCATAAAAATTCAATCCAGGCTAAAACTTGGCATCCTAGGGCTCCTCCCAGGAGTCATTTCTTTTTGTTGTATTTGAAAGAGGAAACCATTTATCTGTTTTTACATTACAAGAGAGCAACAAAAGGAAGCGAAAGCAGAGTTTGGAGTTTTTTGTTTTTTTTTTTTCTATTTTATATTGCTTGCTTTTGCTTAGCTTTACAGTATCTGCCATAGATGTTAAAGGAGTACAGTACATAATAATCAATAACACGTGAAAAAGCATCAGGTTATAGAGCAACCTGAGTCCACAATCAGTACTGGTCATAAAATACCTTTATCTTTCTAAAATACTTTGCTTTTCTAAACTGATAATTTGCTAGCAATATATCCAAAATGTAACTTGATGCTGGGGGTCACTTTGATTTAAAATGAACTTCTCTTTTTTGGAAAACTGATAAAGTTTATGTACATGCTCATATTTAAGAAGAATTTCCTAAAGGTACAGATGTTTTCACTGCCGATTTTAGGGGTCTATCCTCCAGCCCCCTCAGTGCAAGTATATATATAACAGTCAAATAATCTTTGGATTTAGGTGTCCCTAAGTATTCATTTATATGATGGATTGTAATGGCTATATGGTTCCCTTGAAACCATTATATTCTATCAGGTCAAAACCAGCTTCTTAAAAAAGTTCATTTAATGCAAGGGTGGCTGGAATGATTTGTGTACATTGCATTTGCTTGCATGCAATTCCCATATCTGCTGGAAAATGAGTAAGGATTTAATGACCTCACAGGAACCAAAGGTTTTGGTGACATGAGCTAAGAATGGGCCTATGAGAAAAAGACCGGTGTGAATTGGGACACTCAACTGGAATGCCAGCAAAGCCTGGACATCACATCATTTTGCTGTGGATTATGCCTATGCCACATGTTTTACAGAAAAGCCCTCTCTCTACTGCTGTGATATATACATTTCTGCTAGCCTGGAAACTTGGTAGGGGTATCCTCCCACTCATCAACTCCAGGCTGGTCTATGGAAAAGGATCAAAAAGAATTATAACTCACAGAGGTGAAAGAATTTTTTCTAGGTGGTAAAATAATGGAATGCAAGGAATTGCATACATAGTTACACACACAAATACACATGTAGAAAAGGAAAATGCCTTTGTATGCAAACAGAGACAGAGATAAAGACAGACAGCTTTATAGTATACCTGATAGAGTTAGGGGTACATGTATATTGATTCAGGGAATGTCAGCCACTTTTACCTTGTGATTTATTATTTTCTTAATATCATGTGATATGATAAGACTCATATTCACTATATTTAACAATTAAAGGAAGACTCCATAATATGGGGGGAATAAAGGCAACATTTGCTTTCCATGGTCTGCTAATCCCATGACTGAAATCAGGATTCCACAAATTTACTCTTTCCTTTAGGGATTTCATCAGAGTGACATTGGGCTAGCAACCTACAGCAGATCCAACACTTCCTGAAGGTAAAAGAAACTCATTCTATGACCTCTCTGATACCTGTATATTAGTCTAAAAGTGCTGCTTTTCCAATAACACTGATGCTCCTATTTTAGGAGTATGAGCTCCCAGAGTCTTCAGAGAGTGGAAGTAAGTACTAATTCCAGCTTACCTTGAGGTCTGAAATGATTGCCACTCTGCAAAGACATTATTTATTTATTTATTTATTTATTTATTTATTTATTTATTTATTTATTTATTTAAGATTGACCATACACAGGCACATACCAGAGAGAATGATACCTGTTTTAGGCATCTCAGCTCATTACCTGAAGGTAAATGGGGCATATATATATATATATATTTTTTTTTCTTTTTCTCTTTTTTTTTTTTTCTGTTCTCATCAGGCTTTGTCTTCAGTAGTTAATAAATTACATACCTGTGGTAGTTGATAGATGATACAACAACGTGCCAAGAATCTTGTTACCAGTAAAAAATGAAACCTTTTCTGTGCAAGAAACATTTGGAGAACTTTTCCTAGAACTTACCACAGCAACACTTTTAATGGCAGCAGCTCAGCATCTGTGCATCTCCTTTGGGCTTAACAGGACTGGAGACAGCAATACAAACAGGACTCCAAGTTTTATAACCTAATCATTTGGGATCTCATTCTGGCTTTGCTCACTGCATAGATCCTGGGATAAGCTGTGAATCAGAGCTCTATTTTCAGTCAGCTGTCAGTACTTATATCTTCTCACCTGCACAGTCTGGGTGTCAGAGCTCGAAGACAATGGCACATTCAGTGCACATGCAGTAGAAGGAGGGGAGATTACACCAATTTTTATACCACAGAACTCCGACCCCATTCCCAGTGCTGTGAGCATTTTAGTTCCATGTCTTTGATGCACCAGTTACCATGCCTGTTCAGTTCAGTGAAGAAATGTGCAGTGCTGAAGACTATGAAGATTTTGTGCAAATCTGTTCTGCAGCCTTGGTCTGGCTCTTGGGAAAGCTCCAGTGGCTCAGATCTGTTGACCCACAGGCTACTGCTCAGAAAGTGGGTGACATTTTAAATAGCCTGTGCCCACACCTTGAAAATTCTTCATGGGAGGCCAGAACTTAGTCATCTGTGGGGTTCAAATTTAAAACTTTAAAAACAAGTGTGGGACATTGACTACCTCAGTGAATATTTGGGATCACCACAATTTCACTTTCTGTATAGTAAAAGAGGAATCCCTTGCAGGATTAAAAGATCCATGGTCTGGGGCCATCTCACCTGCTACGCAAAAATATGTAGTCAATGGCTGGTGACCAGCTCCAGACCTTATCACTGCTTTCCATTCAATAGTTGCAGCTCTGAAGCTAAGCTGGCAGAGGCAACGGCAACCACTCATGATGAGGACCTTGTTAATCCAGAGGAATCTGTCCCTAGTCCTTTAAACCACATCTATGCCCCCTATATTTTCTGTAATACAATTACTACCAGAGGCCTATCAACTCCAGACATATACACTGCTGAAATGACCTCATAACTTTGCAGCAGTTGTGGGGTTCCAGTTTTCCTCAATACAAATCTATATAAGTTTTTATGATTGACTACAGTGACATTAATATCTAACAATTGTATCATTGTGTCACTGTAGATTCAATCTCTTGGTTTGTACTCAGTGGAAAGACATTATTTTAGCACAAAATATTGTTGTGACTAATACAGAACTAGTGTCTGACTAAAGGATATATAATGACCCAGCAAGAATTTTGTTATTTAGAACAACCTTAAACTGAGGGTTTATGGAAATAATATAAGAAATCTGAATTTTAGTTATATAATAACTCACAGTATCTTTTCTGTTTGTAGCAATTTCTAAATATATTACAGAACCATAGAAAAATCATATACATTTTTTTTGTTTTAGTTTGGTTTTAGATTTAGCTTTTTGATAGCATACAAATTCCTACTGAAGCTACAGATAATTAAGTCCAAGGGATCAGGTAAAAGTCACAAAAATAAAAGAAGTTAAGAGTCAAGTCAGAAAGACCAGTTTCTATCATACCCAGCTATGCTTAAGTGTTAGAGATAGAGGTCATCTAATGGGGGAGGAGGGGAGGGAGCTTGTGCCGTCAGGTGATCCTAAATACCAAATATGCTGTAATATTGCAGCCCAAGGGGAACGTAAAGTCCTGACAGAGTTTCAGCCCTAACTAAGAACTTCCTGCTATTTGTGGTTTAAGATCAGGCCTTTAAGGTTACTTTCAGATAGCCTTTCGTGTGCAAAAACTGTAGGAACATTACCGTCAGGGCACTAGACGAGACCATAAAATCCTCTCTTAAAGTGCAATTCTGAAGAAAACTCGCCACCTGCTGGACAAAAAGCTCATAGTTCTGAGCTTTTCTAAACAATATTTGCTAAAGTAATTATTTATCAGTTTACAGCACCTGAAATCATTCAGGGTTCACTCTTTCCAGTTAAACCGCTGATTTTGGGAGCTTCTGATTTTAAGGAAAAATACTTTTCATCTGAAAATCCATGTGACAATGTTTTTTGCTGGTGTTTAAATATGATACTAATCAAATATTTCTGTATGAATAATAGTTTCTAAAGGTTTAAATGTTTTCATATGTGTGAGTTTTTTTAACTGCTATTCTAATATGTATATATCCTCTTTCTTTCCCTTATGATTGCATCAGGAATCTTTGTGGTTTCCTTCGCGATGTTTGTGTTGCTACGGAGTCTTTTATTTGCTGTTACTGCTTTTATTTACTGTTACTAAATAGTAACTGGAGATTCTGACATCTCATTAGAAATATTTCTCATTCCTGTAGTGGAAAAGGGAACACCTCTCTATGCTAGATCTCACCATCTTATGACTTACCTTTTTCCATACACTTTTTGTTAAGCAAAACTATACTATCTAGTAGAGATAACAGATTTTGAGTGTGCATGTCTCAGTTATGTAAGTTATGTAAATATTTATTTATTTATTAGTGTCTGATCTACCATCAGCTAAGCCAAATGAAAGTTCCCATTGATTTCAATCAGATCTGAGTACTTTACGTAACAACCCACAATACAATGGATTAGTCAGAGCTAATATTGGGTTCACAATTTATTGGTGAGGATTGTGAATGCACAAGCCACAGAAACAAGTTTCACACTCAGAAAGTTCTGACCTCAGAAATAGGGAAGGTAATGAAGGTTGGATTCTTCCAGACTTTGTGAAGCATGCTATGAAAAGGAACAGTATTCAGTCCAGCATGTAGCAGGGTACAGGAATTAATCTGCCAATAAAGCCAACAAAGCAGAGTAGAAAAAAATATGGATAGTGAATGATTCACTTCCAAAATGGAAGTGAATCATAGAGAAACCCAAGAGAAAATTTGTAGGAAGCAGAAATAGTGGAAGCAGAAATAGCAGAAATAGTAGAATTATCATAAAATGTAAGCATATTATTGAGAAGCTAAAATAGAAATATTGTCTAGAAGAGCTAAAAGAGTTAAAATGTATTCTTGTCAGCTCATTTAGAGAATGACAAAGTAGTCTCATAAAAAGATAAAGTGAGAGAACTCCAAAATACCATTTTCTGTTCAATTTACTGTAATAAGAATGATCAGAGACTAGACTAGACAAGACTAGAATCATTCATTTGGAAGGGACGGAAAAAAGATCATTGAGTCCAACTGCCTGAACACTTGAGGGTTAAAAGAAAGTTAGAGCATGTTATAGAGGGCATTGTCCAAATGACTCTTGAACACTGAAGGGCATGGAGCATCAGACACCTCACTAGGAAATCTGTTCCAGTGTTTGACCACACTCACAGCAAAGAAATTTTTTACCTCCAGTCTGAAGCTCCCCTGTTGCTTTGTGACATTCCCATGTCCCACCAGTGACCAGGGAGCAGAGACCAGCATCTCCTGCTCCACTTCCCCTCCTCAGGAAGCTGCAGAGAGCACTGAGGTCACCTCTCAGCCTTCTTTTCTCCAGAATGGAAACCCAGGTGTCTTTGGCCTCTCCTCACAGGACATGCCTTCCAGCCCTTTTACCAGCTTTATTGTCCTCTTCTGGATGCTTTCAAAGACATTAGCATTCTTTTTATATTTTGGAACAGGAACTGCATGCAGTATTCAAGGTGAAGTCACATCAATATTAAAAGTAGTGGGAGAATATTAGCAGAATACACAAATACAGTTGAAGCAACTAACTGGGGTAAGGTGAATGAGTGTTTCTCTGACCAAGATAAAAAGGGGGCTATGAATCAAGAAGCTTGAGATTAGGTCAACATCTTCTAACAATTTTATCTGTTTGAATAATTTAATAAATTCTCTGCTCTGGTATATCCATCTGTACAGGGTAAGTAAAAACACACACATAATTTCCAGGGATTATTTCAAGAAAAATATTAGGTATCGTATTTCACAAAGGGGAAAATAACTGCTAACAGTCTGTATTTTCTTTGTCTTGGCCTTTCTCTGAGCTACTGGTGTATTCAGTCCTGAGTTAGGCACAATGTAATTTTTAAGAAATTTGTGGAACATTTGTCTGGAACTGTTCGTGTTTTCACAACACCTTGCTGACACAAACTAATGATAGGCTGTTAAACTTCTGGCATCTCTTTTGAGGAAGATTTAGGGCAGGACCAGAGATGTGGATTTCTTAGTTCAAGTGTAACTGAAGGAGGGAAAAAAAAGCAGAGGAAAAAGCAGAGGTCTCATGCCGAACTGAATATAGGAACCTGCCTTTTAGTGAGGTGACAGTGGTGCCCAGAGAACAGGGGTTGTTGGAAGTGCTAACTAGCTGTGATTTTAGTATCCTTGAGCATTGGACCAAACTCCATCAGAGTCCCAAGTTCAAGTATGTCAGGGTTTGAATGAGAAAATAGGTCACATAATTCAATTACTGTTCAGCAACTGATCAGTTATTCTGTGGCAATTACATGCATGCTAGAACATGTTTTATAGAGGAACTTTAGCTTTAATTTCTACCTTTCGTGCTTTTACTTGCAGTATACCTGTATATGTCACAATGCACAAGGAGAGCAATATGGCAAAGCAGAGCTGTAAAACAGATGCTGTAAGCTCATATCCTGGAGGTAAATTATCCATATATTTGTCCTGTCTACATCCAAATGTTAGAGAAAGAAATCCAAAACAAAACAATAAAATAGATGCTAGGAACATTTGCGGACTGCCAAGAAAAGTTTAAAAAAAATTCTGCAGAATGATACCTAAGCCTT